ACAGGCAACACCATGATCATCCCCCTCGTGACCAGATAAAGGGTGGTGGTCCGAAGAACAAAAAAAACCACGAATTTCACCTAAATGTTTATAACTTCATCATACGCTTGTACATAGGTATATAACAAGTTAATACCTGGTCAAATATCCTCTAATCTTTCTATTTCGTAGTGATATCTTCAGCTTCAGACTGACTTTCATTACTGTCGTGCGCACCTTCATCTTCTTCCACCTAAGCTTACCTCTAAACAGTTGGTTCTGGACACTTCCTCAAGTAAGTTTAACAGTCAGTACAAACTCACCCAGATGGTTGGTCTACTCCTGCGTATTTTTGTGCTCCTGTTACAAATTTCGCCTGCTGCTCGCTTTTGTTATTCACTTTTCAGATTTACTTAACCAGTCCTGCATTCAAATGGAATCCTACAAATCGCATTCGTCAGTGGGAAATATTGCCATCAAAACCTGATGACGAACGCGCACACCTCAAGGTCATGACTGTGATGAGGCCGCACCTTCAAGAATATTGGATGATTCAAACGATGACCGGATAATCTTCAAATTCGAACTGAGCCTGCTTCAACACACCTCCTATATGCCATAAATCACAGCATCTAATGTACAGCATAACATTGTACATGATAGTCATCTCTCATTACCAAGGTGATCAAACCTGTAAAATGGTTTGTATTCATGTAACCTTTGTTGTATGAAATATATTATTATTATTATTGCTTCGTAGTTATATCTTCGGCTTCAGACTAATTTTCATTACCATCGAGCACACCATCACCTTTTTCCAGCTAAGCTTACCCCTAAACAGTCGGTTCTGCATACTTCTTGAAGTAAGTTTTGTAGTCACTAAAAGGACCCACCCAGATGTATCATGATTGATCTACTGCTGCGTAGTATTTTTGTGCTCCTGTTTCGAATTTCGCCTGCTGCCCGCTTTTGTTACTCACTTTTCAGGTTCACCTAACCAGTCCTGCATACAAATGGAATCCTACAAATCGCATTCGTCAGTGGGAAATATTGCCATCAAAACCTGATGACGAACGCGCACGCCTCAAGGTCATGACTGTGATGAGGCCGCACCTTCAAGAATATTGGATGATTTAAACGATGACCAGATAATCTTCAAATTCGAACTGAGCCTGCTTCAACACACCTCCTATATGCCATAAATCACAGCATCTAATGTACAGCATAACATTGTACATGATAGTCATCTCTCATTACCAAGGTGATCAAACCTGTAAAATGGTTTGTATTCATGTAACCTTTGTTGTATGAAATATATTATTATTATTATTGCTTCGTAGTTATATCTTCGGCTTCAGACTAATTTTCATTACCATCGAGCACACCATCACCTTTTTCCAGCTAAGCTTACCCCTAAACAGTCGGTTCTGCATACTTCTTGAAGTAAGTTTTGTAGTCACTAAAAGGACCCACCCAGATGTATCATGATTGATCTACTGCTGCGTAGTATTTTTGTGCTCCTGTTTCGAATTTCGCCTGCTGCCCGCTTTTGTTACTCACTTTTCAGGTTCACCTAACCAGTCCTGCATACAAATGGAATGTTACAAATCGCATTCGTCAGTCGGAACCTTGCCATCAAAACCTTATGACGAACGCTCACACCTCAGGGTCATGACTATGATGCGGCCCCACCTTCAAGAATATTGCAAGATTCAAACAATGACCGAATAACTCCTAATTTCGAACCGCACCCGTTTCAACTTACCTCTTGTATGCCATGGATAACGGTATCTAATGTATAGCTTAACATTGTACATAATAGTCATTTGTCGTTACCAAAATGATCAAACTTGTGAACTGGTTTGTATTCATGTAACCTATGTTGTATGAAATATGTATTATTACTATCATCATTATTTTTATTATTAAAACGTAGATGAAAATACCAAGCCCCGTCAAACGAGCAATTCAGAGGTACTTCGCCATAACCGAAAGGTTGGCTAGGATCTCATGAGCAGGGAGTACAGTGCGACCGAAGCGCGCAACCCGTCACCTGAGCCAGGCAGCTGACAATCCTGTGACAGACGACTCGGACGTCCGTGCAGACCGTTGATGAACTGAATAAAAACGGATAAATGTTTGACCAGGAAGATCTGAACTGCAACAGAGTAGATGTGGCAAATCAAGCAAAATTTGCCGGGCCTTAGCGTCCTTCATTTCCAGCTCCCCCCATTCAGAAGTGGTCGTGCGGCTAATCACAGAGACTTCTTCTTGAGTCCACTGCTCCGTAACCATCGCCAGTGACTTCATCATTCCGTTCAACCCCTGAGAGATGGAAAGAAGGTACACCAAATCCTTCAGTCAGAAGCTTGAGACCGCTGGCCTTTCAGAGAATGTGGACGATTTCACACGTTGGGGCCTGACAGATATGCATCAAGCCTGGACTATGTTCCGGCGAACGATGAACCTCTAATTGAGTGCATTTCATATCGACCGCATCAAAGTTTCGGTGGTCGTCTAGTGATGACTTTTCCCATCACAACTAGGGGGTGTGTGGAGCCAGAGACAGTCAATACCTTCCCCTGCTGCACCACGGCCAACTACCAGATCACAAGAGATTATCTCATGAATGTAAGACGGCCTGTAGACTGAGGCTGCCGCATAATAGAAGGTAGAGGAAATACTTTTTGGGCCACCAGTCACAGTCACGCACCGAACACCAAGGAGAACTCAATGCCTATAGCGCAGGGCAGAGGGGCTATTTCAGACCAAAAGGCGAGCCTGGTTAAGTTGGCGTTCATCACGTAGGGAGTCCGACATCTTGGACGACTAAAGAACTCACAGTTGCTGCAACCTAAGGGTCTGTAGCCCCAGGTTTGCCTATCAAACAAGCCTGGTGAGGAGGTTACAAATTACCGGGAAAGGTTTGCACCTTTTCATGCCGAAATAGAAGTCAACTAACGTTGATTTTACCACCGGTCTCAGTTGGGAGGCACTAAGCAGTCTGGCGATAGCCTAGCTTCGGAGCTCACGCTTCGAAGGGCAGCCTCCGATGCGGGATCCGTGCCGGTTTCATACGACACTATTCAGACTATATATAACGGATACCTTTGTCTCATTCCCATTGCACAGACAGAAAGAGTCCTAGCAGCTACAAGCCGATTATCAAACTACCCTTGCTGTCCAAAGCATTGAGAAGCTCTGAAGCCAAAGACACCTGACAACTCTTTAACTAGGAAAGAACCGTCAGTGTTACTCAACATGGCCTTTGGAGTGACTGTTCTCCTACTTCCAACCTGCTGACTGCCTGAGACGACCGGACTTGTAGCCGGGATAGCGGAAAACCAGTGCATGCCATTTTTTCTGACATAACCACTTGTCACCTGGTATAAGCAAACCTTTACTCTCTTGGTCCAAAGTGTATCTAGAAGACAGGCAGCCCCGAAGCAAAGTAAAGTGAATACGGTCAAAGCTGAGACCATCGGCGCCTGGCATTTCCTAAGGAGCAATCCTGGGACAATTTCTGTTCCTATTGTTCGTCGAACATCTGCCACATAAAATCTTACCCTCCCCGTCGATAGTGACATTAAAATTAGGAGGATAAACAAAGAATCTAACTGCACAGAAATCCAGAGTAGCCTGCAGCAAACTGACTTCCCACCGTTGGAAAACGGCCTGAGCTTCAACCCAGAAGAGTGAGAAGGAATATACTCAACTGCTCAAGAGGCAATGAGTGTGAAATTACGATACAAGCTAAGTGACCGTGTTATAACCAAGGTATCCATGGTGGAGATTTGGAGCTCAACTTATCGGGCGCCCTGAACACCAGCTCTAGCTACAAGGAAATGGCAGCCGGAAAGAGAACTGCTTTGGGCTTTCTACAAAGACAGCTTGGGTCTCTCACCCATGAATTATTTCTCACAGTTTTCAAATCCTTCGTACGGCTGCATCTGGAGATATTCAGCTCGGTAGCACCCCCGACACCCAAGAGAGGCTTGGGTCTTCCTGAGGAACTACGGGATATGCGACGAAATCGGTTGTGGGACCAAGAATGGAGGTTTATATCGAAAGACTGAACCACCCAAGCCTATTCATCTTGGGCTATGGCACAATAGGCGTGACTCTGTTATGGTCTACAAGATATTTCATCAGACGAGGCAAGCAAACGAACTAGCCTTTCGTGTAGCGTGGTGGGAAGCCTCATGAGGGTAGCACACCAGGGAGCCGGGGTCTGACTTTTCTCTTGAAAAATACGTGCATTATGGAATTCTTTACCACGGAATTTAGTTGCAGCTCCCCCAGTAAACTCGTGAGAAAGATGGTTTGACAGCTGCGTTATTTCGCATGGCTTATTACGGACGTACCCGTGACATTGCTTCCTTTTTATTTGCCGATCATCGCCACTCTCTCTCTCTCTCTCTCTCTCTCTGGTATGACTGCATTATCTATCAACTCTTCTCTAATAACTAAACCTATACTTTTCGTGGAAGTCCCGTATGCCTTTTACCCGCTATCTTGGCATTCTAATTACGACACCTTTACAGGCAGGAGTCTTGAAAGACTTCCAATCGTCCCAGCAACCTGTACGTCTCTAAACGCCCCAGTCTACAACTTGCAATTACCAACCCAGAAAAATATTCATCCCCCAGGAGCCGAAAGCAGGTAAGCAGAAAAGATTTCCTTGCCCTCTGTAGGAACGAACTGAATGACAAGAGCCAAGTCCGAAGAAGTAGACGGAAGAGATCAAAATCTGTGGGTTTCCAGGGCTGGAACCGATAATATCAGATGTTGGACGTAGGTTTTGTGGAAAAAGTAGGCTGAATATGGAAATAGGCTTTCTTGCATTTCTTTTAGTATCCATGATACTTAGTATTTATGCATGCCGAACAATTTTTCCAAAGGGTAAGATTCACTGGGCTTTCAATGACTTTGGAGATCGTCATACAATTGTCCAAATGGTTTGTTAGAATGCCACAACGGCTAATAACAGTACATTCACAAATACGCGGTAACATGAAAAAATGGTCGTTTGCAAAAGAGGTTTGTTTTCGTAGGCGTATGATGACCAGTTAACAAAGTAGCAACTGTTATTGTCTTATAAATTTATTAGAAACATATTTGCTTCCCATACGTCCAATTATATGCCTACAACGTATGGTTTCGAACAATAAGCCAAGACGTGGAAAACAACTATAGCAAATGGAATTATTGTTTTTAAGATAGTATTCAAAACTTACGCCGGCTTTTTATCTTAGGCAGATTCGAATTAGGGCCTTTATGCGGTCACCTAAACGTCTTCACTCTGCTTACTTTCTACATTCGAAGTCTAATTGTATATCAAAAACATATTTTTTCTGGGGGTTTTGAGATTCTAAGTGCTGTCATATTTTCTACAGAATTTTATGATGCCTCGAAATTGAACAAGTATTCACCTATTCTTCCCTGCTTGAATGGTTATGCTTCTTGTAAACCCAGGTGGTAACGGCATTCTTATTGATTTCAACAAGTTCAATGGTAGATTAAGAAGGATTGATGGCTTTTCAGCTTCAATACCTGAGAGTGCTGATGATATGTGGTTACGTAACTTGTCTGGATAACTGGACAAATAAATCTGAACACATTTTATAACATTTCGCTACATCCTATCAGTTTATTAGCTTAATATAAGTGTAAAACTTGGGCACTGTGGTAGAATTTAATTCCATATTAGATTTGTTTATTTGATATATAGGGCACAGTGATACAGTATTATTTATTAGCGTGTCTATCAATTCACACATATTTTGTTTAGGAGGGTATGGTTCTGCCGACTACGCCGAGTTTAACTGCTACAGTCTTCTTCTTGAGCTTGAAACAATCTCCATGAATATACGAGTCAGCATAAGCAGTTCACAGATGTGGCTAGCATCCTAATAACGATAATATTCACTCACTGTACATTCGGGGGATATCCCTATGTATTCATCACTTACTAAGGGAGGGAAGTTAAGAAGACTGTTGATTTAACCAGAATAAAGTATGTAAACCAGTTCAAAGGTAAAGAACCTTGATTAAAGATAAACGTTAATGCTTAATGATTTTCTATGCAAAATCATTCTTCATAGAAGCCGGGACTAACCTGCTGCAAAAAATAGAACGGGCTTTCGGGAGGGGGGGGGGCAAGGCAGTCTACATGACGTGCACTAAAGTGCACTAAGGTGAGCAAGAGGTTGAGTTTACTCCGGCTCTCAAGGTGTCCCAACATGCAGTCATCGAACTGACAAATCAGACTAAGTTAAGTGACACCGGTGGCTAATCTACTCTCTTGAAAACTGGCTTTTCAACTGACCACCATTAATCTCACTATCATGTGTCATGGTATTTCTGATGCTATGCTGTAGATGGTCGGTTCTGCTATGTGGCTGTTTTTTTGTAGCAGTCAGTGTTTGTCGTACATTAAATATCACGAAACATGAGCTCAGGATATTTTGCAAGACGTCTTCTTTGCTATTCTACTACATACTTTCGTTTTAGAATCCTGATAACTTTTCAGGATAAAAAACCATCATGTTATGTTGTGTGAGATATGTTAAGACTAGAAGATAGCTTAGTATAACCAAAATAAGGCGAAATGAGTATGTGGAATTTCTCGCTGTTATTTGGAATATTATGGGAAATTATAGGCTACATGACTGGGGTTTTCAGAATGTTGGACATTATTGGCTGCAAAATCTCGGTTAAGTGGGAAAAAGGCGAGCATAGATGCATGAGTTAGTCTTCTAGAATAAACGTAGTAGCGCGCAGATCCCGATTTAATATGTCAGCCTAATATTTGTATATGAGCTGGCTGCTTAGATTTAATGTTCTAAACAAGGTCATATATATATATATATATATATATATATATATATTCGATGAAATACTACTGTATTTCAATGGCAGCGTACTCTCTTTCCACTATGGAAATAGGAACCAGGTGTTAGAACATGATTTTCCCCTTCAATTTTAACATTTGTTTTATTTCTAACATCTTTGTATTTTCTAAAACTGCTCCTTTAATAGCCCAACTTTTCTTACTAAAACCAGTGAAAAATATCCTCAGGTATTGCACATAACAGTACTTTTAGATCTCCAGGCATTTAGTAGTCTTATATGACACTAAGAATTGGTTTTTCTAGTAGAGATAATATAAAAGCCACTTTGGGACCATTTTCCTTCTTCCTTACGTTTGACATTGTCTGAAACAATAAATATGGGTGGACAATATCATTATCAGTCAATTTTGAAAGTTTTGTAGTAATTATTTCCTTTTTGAATATTCTGTTTTCAGATTATGTCGGTTTTTACAGGAATGGGACATAAAAATGCTTTAAGAATGAAGATGTATAGCTTTTTGATAGAGATGAGAGTTGGGAGCAGCTTTAAAGATAAATTATATCAATAACTGGTGGTTATAACTGACGTTGCGGGGTACGAAGCGGAATGTTAATAAGCTCGGTTTGATTTAACAACCTAAACTGTAAATTGATGGGTCAGTGAAGTGTAACCAACTTCATGTTTTCTAGTCCTAAGTTTTGTTTGAATTCCATCGATTGTTGTTTAATGTAACTATAAGACTAGGAGACTCCCCAGCGTGGTCCAAATAGCTCAGTGACAATGTCTCTACCCGAATCATGGTACGACGTGGTTCATAATCCCTGATGGGAAACCAGTAACCTTGAGGTTGCAGATATAACTTACTGAAGAGCACCAACAAGCAGGAAACCTGGGTCCAGTGTTTACTACCTATCGCCTCCACCCAACTAAAGACTGCATAATAAGTATCAGGTTCATAGTTGTGTCGAATATCCTGGGAGAATTTGAATGCTAAGTCTAATTTATTCACATTCTGCTCAAGAGACTGTGGCGTGGATAGCAAAGTGTTCACAAGAATTTTGTTTTGATTTCCTAAACACTCTGGGAAGGTGACTTGTTTTATTAACCTAAACTAAGTTAATGAATTATCATTGGATGTGATACACAACAGTTTCACCTGAGCTTTTTTTCGAGTTATGTGGGTTTCAAAGGTTAAATGTCAGTAGGTTTAACATCATATACAGTAGGAGTTTTCAATTGACGTACACTAATACGTGCGAAGAAACTTTATCGAAAATTTACAGTGAAATAAGGTCAAAGTGCAACGGCATGCTGTTCACGAATGAAATCAAACAGTTTGTAAAGTTATCAGTATCCGGTTACTGATTACATTACAGTCCGTTAATAGTTACATGCAACTCGGCTTCTAATCGTGCTTGTTCTATGTTTCCGGTACTAAGTAGGTTTCGCCTTATCAATTACATGCTGAAGAAGTAAAGTATTCACGTATGAACAAATGTATTGAGCAAACTGGGCATTCAGTTGAGAGTCATTCACATGATGATCCAAGAAACAAAATAGTCTGTCGTCAGTTTTAGAATTGGCTATGAGCTTACTGTTTCAGGATATTTTAAATTTTGTAAGAGTCTTTTCTGTACAAAGTAGTCGATATGATCTAAATTGAACAATATAAAATCAGTATTTATGTTGTTTCATCGTGGATAGTTATTTTAATATAAGATTACAGCCTCAGTAACGAATTCTGTTTTGGAGAAAGGAACTTTTACTAGTTTGAAAAGCTGACTCCAATGAATATTTTTACTAGTTTCCATCTTTCTATGGTATTTGTACAGCCTTTTAAGATCTTATTGAGTTGAAAAACATTATTGTCTAGTTTTCATAGATTATGTAACACACAACTGCTATATGCATACTTCATGCAAGCATTGAATAGATGTTCTTCTTCAAATTTAAAAGTAAATGTTGAGCAGTGGTCACGGAAGAACAGTTCACTATGTGTTACATACTTCAGGTTATGTAAGTAACGTTTTAGTTAGTCACCAGTTCAGAATCACGTTGGAGACTGTACCTTGACTTCAGCTCTACATGATTATAGTACATTGGCTTTTAATTTTACGCTTATAAAGGTGTTGTTTAATTTATATTGTTTGCTTGGCTGTTATCATTGAAAAACGCCATGTTTGCTGTCTTCCAGAAGTAACTTCCTAACAGTATTGTTCATTTGTATTCTAACCAAAGATGGCAGTATTTTTGTTTAGAGACATCTGATAAGAGACAAAATACACTCTGCATTCCACTGTTAATCGCTGACAAGCATACATATGTATGCTTTTTTGTTAGCGATGTTCTTTAATCATTTCTGTTTGATAAACGAAAATCACGACATACTTCAGACTGAAGAGAGCTGGCAATAAAGAACCTGCTGCCTAATTAAAATGAAATGCATTTAGTAACTTTGCACACATTCTTGCAGTAAGGAACGAGCCAAATTTATTGCATGACGGCTAACAACATTACCTTACTACCTAAAACTCTGTAGATCGGGGGCAGGGTGGAGTTTTTCTCACGTATGACCTACTGGTGAAATGTAAGCTGCCTGATCCAATGGGCTACAGCTCCACACTTTTCTAACACTCAATATTGTTATATATATATATATGCTCTGTATTGTTGATACATAAATATACACAAATACATAGAAATATACATACAATTATTCTATCTAATTACAGATGCACATCTTGCTTTGAATCAGTTATCAGACTATCGCAATCGCCTTGATAGTCAGAAAGATGGATTACTGGTAGAAGCTCTTAATCGGTTAATGAATGTATTTCAAAGCAGATTGTTTCTAGGTCTACTAGGTGAGTTATTATGTAATTTTCGTATAAAAAAGAAATAAATACTTACATGGCTTACTTCCACTAATATAGGAGTAAAACGGACAACTATGGAACAACTTTTTTCCCCAATGACTCAAATATCTTCACATAACACCTGAGAATTTCAGAAATATCTACACATTCTGATCGTATGATTGTGTAACAGTTAACTAGCCTTTTTAATATTTTACCATAAATGTTCATTTAAAATCTCATTCATGATTAAACTATAGTACCTGATTTACTTAGTATTTCTGATAGCCTACTTGATAAGAGGAAAGTTAAAAAACTGGGAACAGTGTTGAAATAGGTTATAATAACTTTCTACGGCCCGTTGCTTAATTTCAAGGAATCACAGTGAACGATATATATCGGAGTATAGGCTCCTTCAACAGACATCTGAGTATTATCTTGAGTTTAGTTTTGATGTTGAAGCCTATATTGGAATCCAAGTATATCATTAGTTATACCATGGGTTATTGGACAGCTGAAACTGAAGAGTCTGAATTAGGATAACGAATACTTTCTAGATTCTACTGTTAACCCCAACCAATCAAATCATATCAAGCAACCAAAAACCTTTGCGAAAATTCATGGAATATTTAAGCATCACCAAAGAAACCTTTCTACATGACGTCATCATCACTAATTAATTATTTTGATTGTAGTTGTTCCTTTTTTATTACTTGTCCCTTGGGTTCCTAGTGGAACATTGGGCTTCACAAGGCACACCTCCATTACACTCTCTTCTCTGCAGTCTTCTCAACCTGACTCCACGACTCCCCACAACCTTTCATTTCTTACTCACATCATCTCCTCCATTTCACCCTCACCTCCAACGCTCAACTCATCGTTTCCCCTTCGGATTCCACTCAACAGCCTGAGCTGGTGAGTGATGTCTCCAGTCGGCCTTCTCAGTGTATGCCCAATACAATCCATCTCCACTTTCTTCCACTGCATATTTGTTGGGTGATAGGTTGTTGATCGGTTTGATGCCAGCCACAGTGAGTTCCTTGTTCCTTATTCTTATTATTCTGGCCATCCATCTGACCTTCAGTATCGAGTCAGTGTAGGCAGTTGTTGATGAATGTCTGTAGTTTGTTGGAAGTGCTTTTCATGACACACGCCATGTTTCTAAACTATCACATAGAAGCACTGACTTGACTGGTATAGGTGTTGAAAATCCGGATGTTGTTCAGGCTTTGTGCAGGCTGAGTGGAGTGCAGTAGATCTCCACACTGATTTCAGATTAATGAAAGAAAGCCTGTCTTGCTATCTTTGTGATCCTGATTTTGACTTTCTCGTCTGTTCCTGTGCTACCACCTGTAGTTGAAATGATGCTGCCTTGCTTGGGTAGGTGAAAGAGACTATTTCGATTATGTTTCTCCAGTCGATGGTGATTGGTGTTTGTCGTTGTTTGTGTATCTTCATCACTTCTGTCTTGCTTTCATTGAGAGAATACATATCAGCCAACTGGCTTCCCGAAGGCTTTCATCAACCGGCGTCATTTCGTCTCCCTGATTCCAGCGAGGAATTAATTTATTTTTATTTTTAATGTTTTCTTTTTGCCTTGAAATTTCCTTAGTGATTGGACTCTTGTTTTGGTGTAGGGTTGCTAGTCCTATGCCCAACCTTCCTTTTTATCCGGGCTTAGGACCGGGTAGTAAACTGATGAACTAGTAAACTAGGCGAGGTCCAGTTGATTACTTACAAGTATTCTATCGGTAGTGTATACTGTATTGGGATTTTATTTTTAAGGTTGCCTTTATCATTGACCAACATCACTTAGAGAACCACTGAAATCTTGGGGGCACTGTACAGTTGTTTCGTCCCAGTGCGGAACTCCTTAGCAGCTGGATGGTTAAGCTGAAGGTTCTGAGTTCGATCCCCAGAGGGTGGGATCGTAAGTGCTTAGTGCTCAGAATTCCTATACTGGCAACATTACTGTTTACTAGAGTGAACATATATTTCACAAGAGTAGTCTAAAATCTTCAGTAAAAAGGTATTGGAAACTCTAAATTGAACGGGATCAGATCTAAAATTCATCTATCTACCATATTTAAGGGAAGAAGAGAAAGTCAAAAGTGTAGACCTTTTTTTTGATAAAATGAGATGATAACGAATAAGAAACTTGCCTTTAATTAAACATAATATATGCAAAGGCACGAAACTTCCTTCAAGTCTAATAAAATAGGCGGTAGATGAAAGAAAATTGAAGTGTCCTAATTAGGATATATTCAGTTCTAATGAATAAGTTAGATGTTCTAAGTTGTGTGATCCTTAAGTATCGGAGGTTATGAATTGCTTGACTTCAAGTCGTTGCCCATTAGAATGGATTAGTGTAATCTTTATCTAATTTCTAAGGATTTTATTATCTCCAATCTGAAAGTATCTTTCATCTTTCCTTCTATTATTTTGTCATATTTTATTCCTTTTTCATTACCTTTATTATCTATAAATATACAATTGACTAGTTTATCAAAATGAATGAAAATATTAGTGTACAACATATCGACTAAAATACTATCGAAATAAATTATTATAAACAGAAAAAGAAGCGAAAAAGAAACTAGAAACAAACAGTGTTACAGTCCGATCAATCGAAGGCAACTTTGATGATGTTGTATTGTCTAGGCTGGATGATTTAATCGTATAGTTAACTTCATTTATATTAAGTTGCTGGTATTGAATAATCGGTTTCACTAAACTGCTTCTCTTCGACAATCAAGATCATTATCTTAGCCATTGTATTTGGTTTTCTCATACTCTGAGATACATATATGGATACCAGGTGATCTACATTGGGAAACTCAGTGATGCCTTTGAAGTGAAGACAGGAGTAAGACAAGGTTGCCACCTAATATCACCCGTGATCTTCCTGGCTGAGGTCGACTGCATCATGTAACAAACCGTGAGGAGTGAGTTGAGATGCACACGCTGCCTAGACCGATGAAAAAAACCAAGAAGAAGATTTGGATTTCGCCAATCATGATGATTTATGTCTAATGTCTTATCGCACAAAGTTGAAGATCGACAGACGAAAACTAACAAGTTGATAGAAGAGGTAGGACAGCGAAAACTGGACTTCAAGTGGATGTAGAGAAGACGGAGGTGATGAAGATAACCAACCAAAAACATCATCAACAACAATAACAAGCACCAATCACCATCGACTGGAGAAACATAATCGAAGTAGTCTCTTTCACCTACCCAAGCAAGACAGCATCATTTCAACTACAGGTGGTAGCACAGGAACAGACGAGAAAGTCAAAATCAGGATCGGAAAGACAGCAAGACAGGCTTTCTTTCATTAATCTGAAATCAGTGTGGAGATCTACTGCACTCCACTCAGCCTGCACAAAGCCTGAACAACATCCGGATTTTCAACACCTATACCAGTCAAGTCAGTGCTTCTATGTGATAGTTTAGAAACATGGCGTGTGTCATGAAAAGCACTTCCAACAAACTACAGACATTCATCAACAACTGCCTACACTGACTCGATACTGAAGGTCAGATGGATGGCCAGAATAATAAGAATAAGGAACAAGGAACTCACTGTGGCTGGCATCAAACCGATCAACAACCTATCACCCAACAAATATGCAGTGGAAGAAAGTGGAGATGGATTTTATTGGGGACACACTGAGAAGGCCGATTGGGAACATCACTCACCAGCTCAGGCCGTTGAGTGGAATCCGAAGGGGAAACGATGAGTTGAGCGTTGGAGGTGAGGGTGAAATGGAGGAGATGATGTGAGTAAGAAATGAAAGGTTGTGGGGAGTCGTGGAGTCAGGTTGAGAAGACTGCGGAGAAGAGAGTGTAATGGAGGTGTGCCTTGTGAAGCCCAATGTTCCGTTAGGACCCCAATGGGAAAATTATATATATATATATATATATATATATATATATATATATGAGTTACAAGGTACTGAAGATGACCAACTTTTTATCTTATCTTCTTTCTGGAACTTATGGTAATGATAAATACTTTAGCGGTTTTTGACGCTTTGGTGTATTGAATAGAACAGAAAGAATTTTATTGATGAAGTGGTTAAGTGTGTAATGAAACAGACGTGGAAAACGTTTTAAATTCTATAGGCCCATCAAATGAAAATTTGTGATAGAAATCATCTTAGAACTGTTAATCATTAGAGTTCTTATCCTTTTGATTACTTATTTGCTAAGAAGATAGAGAACAGATATAATGTAAGGACGATTGTCGTTAAACACCGTTATTATAGTTACCGTTGTTTCAGGAAACTGGTTCATAGAAGACAATTTTGATTGACTTCTTGATGAACAGAATACATTTTTGAATTGTTCGGAATTTTGAGTAAATGACTATTTTTCATTTACTGCATTGGTTTACTGGTTTACCAACTTAGTACTCAAAACGAAAATTCTTAGCTTCAGCTAACTTGTGATACAAGAATCAACAAGGAATCGATCTCCTAACAAGCTGCACTGAAACATGAATTATATCTCTTATTACAAAACCATCCATGGTTCGTAGATATATATACAATGAAGATATCATACATGTAACACTGGTATAAATAGCCCAATTTACAGTGTCAAGCAGTCCAAGCTAGTAGAAGAAGAACTTGGGATAAAGGCGTGCTAATAAGCTTTTCATTGCAACTCTACTAGGTTGTATGAGCGATGTTGAAGTCAAATGAAAGGTACTAGATAAAAACGCACAAGTCATTTGATGAGGTTATGAAATTTATTCGACTGAGACGGCTTGAACATGTACTTTGCATGCCCAGCCACCATCTACCTTGACGTGCCATGCAAGAGGAAGTTGAATTAGCTTGAAAGATGGTTCAGGATGGCCCACTCTTCAGAGTCTATCACCAGTTGATGAAGTCTCTTATTGTTGATCTGAATTGTGTTGGGAGATGAAAACTACCTGGTTTAGAGTCAGTGGTTGAGGACTGAATCTTGGTGACATGGCTGAAAATCGGTTATAGTGACGGCTCAATGTATTCATCCCTTGACAACTTCTAAAGCTTGAATATTTGCACTAACCGTTAACTTGAGATTGTTTATTCTCTCGCACAACTTCATTTTCTTCAATATCACTACTTTCCTATCCTCCTATTCTTTTGTATACTACTGTTGAAGTATGGCAGCTTGAACTGATGGACTGGTGTGCAAGGTTCAACGTTGATTTTATCAGTCAGTCAGTCAGTCTTTTAGCTTGACAAAATAACTTCCTTTTGAACCGAAACTAGACATATTTGGTGCATATAAGTGAAAGTTCTCTGGGTTTTTTCGTAGAGTTGGAGATATTATCAACTTCACCGCGTATTCAGACACAGGTTTTTTCAAATGATATATACATCCAGTAGAAATAAATTACCAAAGTGTGTATTACTCTTTTTTTTTCTACATTTTTTAATATCTTTGAGTTTGCTTGGTAATAAGTTGGGAGATTGTTTATAAACCTCTTGACAATTTATTACTGACAATGACAAGCTTTTATAGAGCAGAGAATGCAGACTTCAAAAGGACCGATTGGTTTACTAGTGCATATCCATGAATATATTAGATCATTTGATCGACTAAGAGTTCAAGGGAATCTTAAATTCTCTGCAAGTGACAATATTTCTCAGTTTCTTTAGAAAAAATAGACTGAATATGATTATCCTCTACCTCCCCGAAAAAACAGAAACATTTCAGATCTGTGCAGACAATGAATATTTTCAAAGATCCGGCTTCCATAAGCATTTGGAAGTAGAAAAGCCACTTAGTAAACTATGAAGACTGAAAAAAGGTCTGAAGAACCAGCGGAACATCTGTTCTTAGAAAAATTATTTTATAAGTAACTACTTCTGCTGACATCATGATGAAAGGTTTAAACACTGTCTGAAGCGTTAAAAAGTGATGGAGAATATATTGTAGCTCAGGTGGATGGTTTTGGTTGTATTGTGTTCTCGAAGCTGGGTTATTTAATCGTTTTGCTAGACGACATCAGTAGTGATGCAGAGACTGGAAGCCATCGTTTTACCTGTGATCAAACAAAAAATTTGGATTCGCTATGTAAACGATACTTTTGTCATAATTAAAAAAGATGATATAGAAAACGCCCTCAGTTTGTTCAACAACTTTTTCAATGACATCAAATTCACAATGGAGAAGGAGTCGAACAACCAACTACCATTCCTAGATGTTTTAGCCAGGATGACGAATTTCGGAAAACTCGAAACCTAAGTTTACAGGATGCCAACACACACTGATCAAATCCTCAACTAAAGTAGCAACAAGCCAACAACACACAAAATTAGTTGCGTGCAAAGCGAGAACACACTGTAGTACAACAAGTTCACGAAGAAAAGAAGAAAATTACTTGATGTCTATTCTAAAGAAGAACAGCTACCCACGAAACTTTATCACAAGATACCTATCCCATACATCATCAACTACAAAGTCATCGACAGAGATCAATAAACGCATCATCTTACCATAATGCATAAAGAATATATCAGAAATCACGACAAGATTACTGAGACCACTAGGTGGAATTGGTGTGGCTCATAAACCAACAAATTCCCTCCAAACACTATTATGCAGATCAAAGGAAGCAACAATCAAAGAAGACAAACTAAATATCATTTACAAAATCAACTGCAATAACTGTAGTCAACACTACATAAGACAAACCGGCCACCCTCTTCGCCTTTGTCCACATGAGCACCGATTGGCTATTAAGCATCACACACGACATTTCATCACTCATTCAATGCACATGGATAGTTATGCAAATGAATTCCATTTCTACAGTGTAGAAATTTTCGATGGAGAGAAGAAACACAAAGAATATCAGAGAATTCTTAAAAGTTTAGCATTCAGGTCAGTCAGTCAGCAATCAATAGATGTATAGACATAGACCCAATCTACCAACCAGTCAGAAAAGTGACAAACAACAGAAAGGTTAGAGGTCGAGCAGAGGAACGACCAACAGGAAAATCTATGTAGTCAGTCAGTGACACAACAATCAAAGGAAACAACTAATCACAGACCATATCGTCAAGGCAAGCTATTAAATCACTCACGGAGAGATATTGGTAGGTCACTTCATACTGAAGTTAATGCTCATGGCGTCATCTAGAAAGCTTCACGATTAAACCACTCAGTTCAGAGAACACAATAAAAATAAGGCGTTAGAAAATGAGTAAATTTTATCTGAGATGTTTCCGAAAGTGTTAGATAACTCACTTTCCTTCATGTTATAAGTCTCGAAACTTTAAATTACGATAGCTTAGTTATTATTTTTCAATATATTCTTGGTTCAGTTTAGTAATCAAGGAGATTATATTAGACTAGACGGAATTGTGTTTCATTGGTCTCAGTTATTGGTATGAAACCACATTTCATGTGGCATGGTTTTGGTTACTAGGTACTATCATTAGTTTTCCCAAAATAGGTGTGATTCATTAGTTAGTGAAAGAATGTAATTAGTTCATCATATATATCCACTTAAACTTATTTATTTCCTCCTTTTTGCTCTCAACTTTTCTACGTGTTTCTTATTGTCAAGATATACAAGAATTCTATGAAGCTATTCTACTAGATCCACAAAAAACTAAAGAAGAGAAAACCTCTGCTGCACTTGAAATTGCATCAAAATGGGAGAATATATCAAGTCCATCATTAGTTGCTTCTACTACTGATTTAAGAATACCAAATAGTTTAATAAATAAGACAAATTATTTTGACAGAGCAGTAAGTGTAAAAATTTTTACATTGTTCTTACATTATTATTATTATTATTATTATCGTTGTTTTTCCCTTGGGTTCCTAGTGGAATATATAGCTTCAGAAGCACGCCTCCATTACACTCTCTTCTCTGCAGTCTTCTCAAACCTCACTCCACGACTCCCCACAACCTTTCATTTCTTACTCACACCATCTCCTCCATTTCACCCTCACCTTCAACGCTCAACTCATCGTTTCCCCTTCGGATTTCACTCAACGGCCTGAGCTGGTGAGTGATGTTCCCAATCGGCCTTCTCAGTGTGTCCCCAATACAATCCATCTCCACTTTCTTCCACTGCATATTTGTTGGGTGATAGGTTGTTGATTGGTTCGATGCCAGCCACAGTGAGTTCCTTGTTCCTTATTCTTATTATTCTGGCCATCCATCTGACCTTCAGTATCGAGTCAGTGTAGGCAGTTGTTGATGGATATGTTTAGTTTGTTGGAAGTGCTTTTCATGACACACGCCATGTTTCTAAACTATCACATAGAAGCACTGACTTGACTGGTATAGGTGTTGGAAATCCGGATGTTGTTCAGGCATTGTGCAGGCTGAGTGGAGTGCAGTAGATCTCCACACTGATTTCAGATTAATGAAAGAAAGCTGTCTTGCTATCTTTCTGATCCTGATTTTGACTTCATCGTCTGTTCCTGTGCTACTGCCTGTAGTTGAAATGATGCTGTCTTGCTTGGGTAGGTGAAAGAGACTACTTCGATTATGTTTCTCCTGTTGATGGTGATTGGTGCTTGTTATTGTTGTTGATGATGTTATTGGTTGGGTATCTTCATCACCTCCGTCTTCTCTACATCCACTTGAAGTCCCGTTTTCGCTGTCCTACCTCTTCTATCAACTTGTTAGTTTTCGTCTGTCGATCTTCGACTTTGTGCGATAAGACATTAGACATAAATCATCATGATTGGTGAAATCCAAATCTTCTTCTTGGTTTTTTTCATCGGTCCAGCCAGTGTGTGCATCTCAACTCAGTCCTCACGGTTTGTTGCATGATGCAGTCGACCTCAGCCAGGAAGATCATGGGTGATATTAGGTGGCAACCTTGTCTTACTCCTGTCTTCACTTCAAACGCGTTACTGAGCTTCCCATAGTGGATCACTTGTCATGTCTCCTTTTCATATAGCTGTTGAATGAGGTTGATAAAGACTAGTGGCCCTCCGTAGTGTTGAAGCAGCTGCCTGCCAAATTACTTGTCAGTCGATGCTGTCTAAGGCCTTATTGTTTTAAATATTTTGAACAAAATACCCGTTATTTGTATGAGGTGATAATTAGGTATGAATGGGTTGGGATTTAATTCAACTGCTTTCAGATTACTAGACCGGCCCTTTACCAGGTATGTTTCGACAAGAGTCAAAAGGTAATAGGGTATGTTGGATGTTTATCATTGGAGTAACTAACTTGGAGGTTTTAGTTTTTAGAAGTGGAGAACACTGATTACAAAATAATAGTACTCATTTACTCTAAGATCCACAAGTAATGAATGAAGCATGAAACTACTTTGACTACCGTAAACCATAGGAACTCATATTATAACATTTCTTTGCTGCCTAGTTGTTAAGATTTCGAATTAAGTTCATTGAATATTCCCTTGAGAAGATCATCTTTATTTTCGGAATGTGATTAGTATTTCGGATGTAACACAGATAATGTGACTGTAATTATGGTGTAGACATTAATGCACTTACCTGATATGCATTTCTTCCTATTGATGAAGTATTACTTTTGGTGTACAAAACAATACAAATCAATAATGTTGATTATCATTTGCCTATCTGAGATAGTCGTAGTTTGGCAGACTAGTATTTATACTGGTTGAGTAATTGAAGTCCTAACTAGGCAGCCATTGTGAATGTGTTTAAGTGGTAGTAAGGCGTCATGAATTCACATGGTAGTCGGGCAGAACCCCCATTGGGGATTCAGATGAAATAAAATTCTGGTCAACAGTCGGATCTCGTACCTCATTTGGTAGAGCATCGGGCTGGAAACCCGGTGGTCGCTGGTTTGAATCCAGTCATGGTGGAAATTTTCATTTCACCATCAGTCATCACCCAGTACCAATCAATAATACTGAAATAAATTTTTATTCTTTGGTGTTAAGGATTATGAATAAAAAAATTTACTATATTCAATAAGCCAAGCAGGATAATACCATATTCATTTTAAAATTTTCATATGGCATTAGAAATAATCTTTTGTTTACAGTTTTCTAAACTTGAAAAAGTTGAAAAATAGCATAAGTTTGTTGAGATGAAAAAGTTATGTTTACTTCTTGACAGATTATAAAGATTCTGAAGTAGATGGCCAAAAGCATGAGGAATAAATTGACTGCTTTTCTATTTGACTGAAATTATTACTGATTATTTCGAAGATCCTACAGGCAAAAACTAACAAGTTAACAGAAGAGGCAGGGCGGCGAAAACGGGATTTTAAGCGAACGTAGAGAAGATAGAGGTGATGATGATACGCAACCAACGCCATCACCAACAACAAACATCAATCACCACCAACGGGAGTAACTTAAAGGAAGTTGTCTCTTTCACCTACCTAGACATAGCAACATGGTTTCAACTACAGGCAGCGGCGGCACAGACGAGGACGTCAAAGTCAGGATCGGAAAAGCAAGACAGGCTTTCTTTCATTAATCTGAAATCAGTATGGAGGTCTACTGCACTCAGCGTAAAGCATGAACAAGATCCGGATTTTTAACGTTAATGTTAAGTCAGTGCTTCTACATGGTTGAGAGATTTGGCGCGTTACGAAAGGCATTTCCAACAAACTACATACATTGATCAACAACCGCCGACGCTCGTTACTGAAGCTCAGGTGGCCAGATTAATAAGAATAAGGAACAAGGAACTCTAGCTGGTAAAGAACCAACCAAGAATCTATTGCTCAACAAATATGCGGTGGAAAGAAGTGCAGATAGATGGGATTGCGCAGGTACTGAGAAGACCATTCGGGGACATCACTTGCCAGGCCATGCACTCCAGTGGAATCTAGATGTGAAACGGGGAGTCGAGCGTCCGAGGTGAGGGTGACATGGAGGAGATCATGTGAGTAAGAGTGGAGTCAGGTTGAAAATATTGAAAAGAAGAGAGTGGAATAGAGACGTGCTAACTGAATCCTTATATTCCACTAGAAACCTAAGGGACAAATAATGTACATAATATAATAATAATATTACTACAGATTATAAAAGGATTTAAGTTTTTACTCTAAATGTTTATTTTTGTTCTTTGCTTCAGTGAAAGAGGAGGAAAATAGAAATTGAAACCAGCTATTTATAATTACTATTTATTGACATACTTTTTATTCTCCGTTGTTTTGTTAAATCGAATTGTTGGGACCGTTCCCCCGTAGCGTAATGGATAATGCCTTGGCTTTTAAAGCGATAGATATGAGGTTTGAGTCTCAGTTGGAAGAACAACACTGGGGTGCAGGTACATCCAGGTGACGAGTTATAGATAGAACGTAACGCGCGTCTTGGATTCTTCTGCTAGCCACAACCAACCAGTTATTCACAATGTTGTTATGAGGAAGAGATTATTTGAAAAATTCCAAGTGTATACATCCTTGTCGAATTCACAACAGAGAGGCTTCTTTGTCTTATTGTTATGCTATTATTGTTATTATTATTTGTTCCTTGGGTTCCTAATAGGACATAGAGCTTCAGTAGCACGTCTCCATTCCACTCTCTTCTCTGCAAACTTTTGAACCTGGCTCCACGACAGCCAACGAGCTCTCATTTCTTCCCTGCACTGTCTCCTCCTTGTCACCCTCACGTCGGATGCCCAACTCGTCGCTTCCCATCGGGGTTCCACTGGACGACCTGGACTGACGCGAGATGTCCCCAGTCGGCCTTCTCAGTGCATGCCCAATCCCATCTATCTCCACTTCCTTCTGCTGCATATTTATTGAGCGATAGGTTGTTGGTTGGTTCGTTCCCAGAGTTCCTTGTTGCTTATTCTTTCTGGTCATCCATCTGATCTTCAGTAACGAGCCGGTATAGGCAGTTGTTGATGACTGTCTGTAGTTTGTTGGAAATCCCTTTCGTAACGCACCAAGTTTCTCAACCATCACATAGAAGCACTGACTTGACTGAATTAGTGTTGAAAATCCGAATATTGTTCATGCTTTATTCTGAGTGCAGTAGGTCGTCACACTGGTTTCAGGTTAATGAACGCCTGTCTTGCTTTTTCGATCCTGACTTTGACGTCCTCGTCTGTCTCGCCGCTGCCTGTAGTTGAAACAATGCTGCCTAGGTGGTGGATGAAAGAGGCTACTTCCTTTAAGTTTCTCCCGTTGATGGTGATTGGTGTTTGTTGTTGGTGGTGACATTAGTTCGATATCTTCATCAACTCTGTCTTCTCTCTCTCTCTCTCTCCCTATATATATATATATATATATATATATGCTATGATATTCATATTATATATGCATTTAATTGTCTTGTGTTCTCCGAACTTTGGTTTGTTCCTTGACGCTTCATTATCAGGCTAAGAGACTTCACAAGCATTTACTTCATAAAGTATTGATGTAAACGTTGATGAAATTGCCTAGCCTAGTGATGATGGATCAGCTCAATTCTAAGCTACAAATCTTCTCTAATACAAATCAATTTGTCTTAAATATCTATGATTGGGGAAGTGTTATTCATATCCTTTACACAATACTTATGAAAAGATTGAATTTATTTTCTTACCACGAATACCATGCTTAAGAAATGCATAATCGAACAAACCAGAAGTTATCCTACATGTTTTATGGGTTTCGATAAAATAAATTGCTCATAAAGCATCTGATAATGTACACTTTTATCGATTGAGTTCATTTGAACATGTATTGTACATAATGATCTACTACGTACCTTGATGTGAGATGTTGATTGCAACAGCAATCAATTACAATGAAGCTAAGGGGAGACAAGAGCAAAACATGACTCAAATCTTTTATA